AACACAAAGAAAAGAGTCCTCGAGCTGTTATTCTTGTCGATTGGCACTGATCCCGAGTACAGTTCACCGATGTCGAATGGCACATCAGGCAAGCTCTCCACAAGGTAGGCTATTAATCCATATGCCTACATCAGCATTCATCCACCAGGAAGTATGAATACATACGCCTCGTCTCGTCATTAAGGAATCGAAATTGATCGTGTGAGCGGAGTTGAGGCTCCTCCGAGGACATCGATACCCTCTTGTCTAGGACCGAGGGTTCGTGCACCGGCCGGTCAGAGCGTCCATGTTTAGAAGCACACGTCTTGCCGGTGCATAATGAGATGACCAATGTAGCCGTCGGCAAAAAGCCTTGGAAGCGCATTCTGAGTCGAACTAGGACAATCTGGCTACGGAACTTGAGAGACAAATGAAGTCATTTTCAGATTTGTCGGGGAAGACTGGAGGACTTATAAGGACGTCCAGCAGGGATAATAAAATGCATGCTAAGACCTGCAGGGTACCATTTTGGGGGCGTTGTGGAGGCCGAAGATGTCTTTTAAAAAAGGACTAGTAAACCCCTGACGTTTTTGACAGCGGACTGATAAGATTACTGGACAGGGATTGCGTGAAAGAAACCCAATAATACTAAGGGTGGCTGTCAGTGTATCTGGAGATGCGAAGGTCTATGTGACAACGGCCAGGAAAGCTTTCAAAAGCGCCGACCCTTGAGTGACTGAACACGTCCAATTACCATGTTTCTTGGACAGTTTATGGAACTGGCATCTGCCACATTTTGATTGAGCAGCAAGGGGCAGGGATGTTCCTGGCATCGACACGGCGGCTTTTAATTCGTGGTGTAGTTTGGGATTCAAATCTAGATCCCGTCGAATTGCTTTGCTCTGTTTGCATCCATGGCAAAGGTCACTGGGCAGGGCCTCGTGATGATATATGATGAGATCACTCGGAGTTTGGTTCAGATTCGTGTTCAAGCAAAACCAATAGATGTTGTGGATTGACCCAGACAGGCTTCTCATGTGTATCGATCACGGCACAAAGAATGCAACGAGGGTGTCGTGGGTCCAAATCTTATCGTCGCTCTTTCATTCGATCCGTCAATCAAATTATTTCCTGACCAGCCGAATGTAGCATCGTTGAAACCTTATCAGTCAATCAGTCCAAAGAATTTAACCTAAAGGGCATCTCAATAAAGGAAAGAGAAAGGGTATTGTTATATGGAAATCTGATTAGAAAGACTGTCCGAAGGGCGTACGAGTATGTGTGGCTGTACATACACCACGACGTCCTCCCCTGTTCGTCGATGCGATGACTCTCTAAATAACCATCTACCTGTCTGAATCGTTCATTCGTACTATTATGTGGTATAGCATTGTATCGATCTGGATAGCTGTGCATGTATTCCGATAAATCTCAACAATATTGATAGTTAGGGTATAAATGCTGCACGGATCACAATCAAAAAAGACAAACAAGAAATGGTTACACCTTCCCAAGTCAGCATAGTCACCTGATAACCTCGTGAACAAAGCAGAGATTCAACAGTTTGGGTACTTTGTTGCATGGCTAACACAATCTACCATCATCTCTTTTTTAACCATTTGTATCCAGTTATGCTTATCTCCAGTTACCGCTGTGAATGTCTACGCCGACATACCTTCCCCTGAAGAAGGCATCTATTCGGACAGTCAATAATAACCCCAACATTCACTTCCAAAATGTTGTACCTCGAAACGATTGAAAGATGACGGATACCCGTCGGAGTCTCCTTCCTCATATGCCATCACGTGTTGAGGGATAGCCTTCGATACTACTCAGGTCGAGATATGCCACCACCCTCTACGCAGCAACCACCCCCAAGTGATACAGATCACAGCTGCTGACAAGGGTATAATGCCACGCTATTCCTATGGCTCGGGTCGAGAGACTCCCATCAAAACTACACCGCACGCGCGTTGATGCCCAGGAGATCCATCGATATTTTTTGGGCGCGGATGGAATCGACATGTCTAGTCTCCAACGAGGCCACCCCGCAAAATGAGGGAGCATGCCCTGTATGGGCTTGGTTCAACCTCTAGTGGTTGTGGAATTGAATGCTGCTGTCCTCTGGGAAGTTCGACCGATCAATCACTAAAGTCTCGACGTAACCAACTTTTTACTAGTTTCGTCCGTTCAACATTCTTGATTTGTTAAACCTTCTGCCCCTTTCATATTTTCCTGATATCGTGTCGACGCCCTTCTATCTGTTTGTTGGTTTACCAGGTCGGTGTGTTCTTTGTAGGGTTCGTAGGGCTGCCATAGTCCGCATATCCACACCACGGACCTTCCTGATCTCGGCTAGTGCTGTTTGCCAGCCGCGGGGAAAAGGCTTTAAAATCTTTTAAAGAGGAAGAACGCAGAACACACCAATGAGGACTATTCCTCTTGGAGAACAGCTCGGAGAAAACTGACTCAGACTCCACCGGCCAAGAGCTCAGGTTGTCGTTGGGGTCAATTACAAGAGTGAGCGGTGGCCGGTTTCTTTTTCTTCGGGCTTCCCTACTTCAGTACCCACCACATTTACCGGAGAGTCGCTCGTATTTACCTCCATACTCCTCTTTGATTTGTAATTGTTTGCTTTGTTAATCAACGTTTTTCTACCAGCGTTGTGTTCTTATCCTTTTTGACTTGTGTTCGGACAGTAGCGAGAGGAAGAGGAAAAAAAAGCGAAATCAAGGTCAACTGTGGTCCACTTCCGCCCTATATCACTACTAACATGTCCACCGACGTCAGACACCATGGCAATCCTCATACAGGCACGATAGAACAAGACAGCTCCAGAGGTTCTACTACCCAAGCTCTTCTCTATGATGAGGCACCTCTCGGATTGTCTGAAAAACCATCGACCGATGCCTCGACTGTGCCTCTAAGCTCCCGTGATGATGCCGGGCCTCGGCTTCCGCCATCGGCACAACCTGGCCATGATCTTTCACCGGAAGGGCAAACGACCCTCGAGCATGGTCATGGCAGGCCGTCCCTCGAATCCCAGACCGACCGCTCGACACACAGTGCCCCCATGAGCCGTGTAACCACTGACGCTGATGGGAATACTTACCCCGAAGGCGGGTTAGAGGCCTGGCTAGTAGTGTTTGGTAGCTGGGCGGGCCTTTTCGCCGCGCTGGGCCTAGTCAATACTATCGGAACTTTTCAGGCTTATCTCGAACACCACCAGCTTAAAGATTATAGCTCAGGAAGCACTGGCTGGATCTTTGGAATGTACGCCTTCCTCACCTTTTTCTGCGGTGTCCAGATTGGCCCGATCTTCGACGCCAAAGGCCCGCGGTTTCTTGTCTTTGCAGGATCAGTACTAGTCGTTGTGCAGATGGCTACTCTGGGACTTTGCACCCAATACTGGCACTTCATGCTTGTGATTGGTGTCACCGGGGGCCTAGGGGCCTCGCTAATTTTTACGCCGGCCATATCTGCGATTGGTCATTTCTTTAACGAGAAGCGTGGTGTTGCGACGGGCATTGCTGCAACAGGCGGCTCTGTTGGAGGTGTTACGTTCCCTCTCATTCTCGAAAAGCTGTTCCCGATGATCGGATTTGCCTGGGCCACTCGTGTGGTCGGTCTTATCTGTTTGATTCTAGTGATCATGTCCTCCCTGCTGGTCAAGTCCCGATTGCCCAAGAAGCCGGCTTCCAAAGAGAATGTACTCCCCGATTTCCGCATCTTTCGGGAGCCCGAGTTTGCTCTCACAACAGCTGGAATCTTCTTCGTCGAATGGGGTCTCTTCGTTCCGATCAGTTATATTTCCTCGTACGCGTTGGCTCACGGTGTGTCCAGCCAGTTTTCGTATCAATTATTGGCAATCCTTAACGCAGGATCTTTCTTCGGAAGATGGATCCCTGGTTTTGTTGCCGATTCGTTGGGACGCTATAACACCCTAATTGCCACAGTCGCTTTATGTCTTGTCTGCAATGCATGTCTTTGGCTCCCTGCTGGTGATAGTGTGCCGGTAATGGTTGTCTACAGCGTTATCTTTGGTTTTGCGAGTGGCAGTAACATCAGTCTCACCCCAGTTTGTATTTCTCAGCTCTGCAAAATCGAGAACTACGGGCGATACTATGCTACATCATACACGATTGTGAGCTTTGGGTAAGTCTAGGAGGCTCCCTGTGTCTTGCCCGGGCATGGAAGATACCGAGTGTAGGAGCTAACGAACCCTTATTGTAGCACGCTTACTGGCATCCCGATTGCGGGTGAGATCCTGTCGCGCTGTAATGGAGAATACTGGGGGCTCATTGTCTTCACGACCTGTTGTTATGCCGTCGGCCTTGCCTGTGTTACTGCTGTGAAAATAATCCACGTTGGCTGGCGTCAGCCCTGGGCACTCTACTGAAGCCAGTACCAACTTGGCGAAGGTACATTTGAGTTGCGGAATGAAGAACCTAAATCAGAAAATTGAAGAGAATTGGCCAAAGGAGTGAAATTTCGTTTGATTCAAGAATGACGTGACTACTTAATGATACGACCTTGAAGGAAATGGCACGCGAAACACATATAACTCATAGCAAGCAAAATTAGCGGGAAAAGTTAATGTCTAGCAATCATCAATTACATTGTTTGTGGAAATGAGAAGAAGTATCTTGGTCATAGAAATCCCGGGACGTCCAGCCATGGAAGTTGATCATCACGACGCCTATCTCTCGACCCCGGAGAAGTCTTCCGTTTACACTCCTCCATGCTTGGGATTGGCTTGGATTTTATCTTCTCAAGCATGCCCGAGAAGTTTATCCGTCACAATGACGGCTCATAAGTGTGTCATGATCATTCAATTCCGGGAAGAGCACACGCCTCATATGCAACTTTTTGTTCAATGACATATAACGATCATCATGAATGCATCTAGCACGGAATACTGCTCAAGTATTTGTACGTTACGATTCCCTTACTGCTTCATCTCTACGGCACATTCGCTGTTTCAGTCCCCGCCCTTCTGTCAACATTGGTTGACATTAAGAATGACTCCTGCGATGAGTTTGATTACTCTGGCTGTTGTCTCCTGGAGCCTGGTCTATGGAGTGACGGCTGGTGTTATATCTTCAGGATGGACACCGACAATATCAGAAGTAACCACCAGCCCACGCCCTAGTCCATCCCGCCCAGGTACCGCCGCTCCAGTTCCGTCATTCCTTTTTGACCCAAGCAGCTAACCATTCAACTTGCAGGGCCATGCTCTCCATGCCCTCAATCCTCCTCATGTCCTGTCGCCACCATAGTGACCGTCACTGTGACTGCAACGGCATGTGTCCCGACAAGCACTCCTAGTGGCGGTGGAGGTGTAACTCAACCTCATCCTTCCCCGTCTTTCCCAGTGCCACCGGGCACACCAGGAGCTGGAGCTAGTCAAACAAGCGGTGGTCAACCAGGTCCAAGTCCAGGGCCAAGTCCAGGTCCAAGTCCAGGTCCAGGGGGAGGTCCAGGTCCAAGTCCAGGGGGAGGTCCAAGTCAAGGTCCAGGGCCAGGGCCAGGTCCAGGGCCCGGTCCCAGTCAACCAGGTCAATCCCCATGCCCAACCATCCCCGTGGGACCCGGAGGTCCGTCAGCATCGACCACTGTGCATGTTCCAACCATACCCTCCTCAGTGCAGCCTCAACCTACCAGCTCCCTCCCTACAACCATCTCCCCCGTTCATCCACCTACGAGCACCCCAGGGAAAACCAAGCCAGTCCCGCCACCAGGTACCCCAGGGAAAACCAAGCCGGTCCCACCGATCAGTACGCCGGTGCAACCTCCACCCAGTGTGCATCCAACTACCGAACCTGTTCCTTCTCTACCAAGTACCCCAGGCACACCAGTTCAACCTCCACCAAGTGTGCACCCAACTACCCTACCAGTACCTCCAGGAAGCACCCCGGGGGGAACTAAGCCTATACCACCACCGAGCACTCCAGTCCAGCCTCCGCCCAGCGAGAAACCTTCACCAAGCACTCCAGGAGAGACTAAACCGGTACCACCAGGCACACCAGTCCAG